GACTCACAGACCCACCACGCCTCCCAGTCCATCCTCTCCATGAATCGCAGCGTCTGCTCTGACGCTCTGCACCAACGGTTCATCCGCCCCTCTGATGAGCGCAATGTCCCCCCGCCTCTGCGCATCCGCATCCGCACCGTAGGCTACCAGCAACTTTGCAGCGTTTTGCCAAGTCGCTAGTCCGCACGCGTTTCCCGCAACGGTAGATAGGCCCAAGAGGTGCACGTCTGGCGAGGTGTGCGTGCAGCTGGATCGACCGTACAGCGCTAGCAAGAGCGCTACGGCATCGTCGTGGCCCGGATCAGCATCTAGCTGGCCGAGGTACAGTGTCAAGTGTGATTGCATGGGCGGGTGCAGGTGTGATGTGAGCAAAGTGTGCGAGTAGCGAGTAGCGAGTCAGAGGGGGCCCAGGCCAATGGGAGCGAATGGCTTGCAAGACTGCAACCAACTCACCCAGATGCTCTTGACCATGTTCGACACAAGGAGTCGCAGCAGCAATTAAAGCGAGCTGTAAACAGTAGACCGGAGCGGAGCGGATGGAGGATTGAGGATGTTGATGAGCGTCGATAGCTTTTCTGAATTGACTTTGCTTTGATTGATGATGGTGGTGACGTCTTACCCTCCTGCTCACGCCGCTTGCCTGCCGTCGATCCATCAGGCACACTCACGACTCATCAGTGACTCGGTCACCAGTCAGCAGTCACCAGTCACCAGTCACCAGTCAGTTGACTCGAATCACGAGCAGCAGCACGCATAGCACGCCTACCCTCACCCTGCCTCGGCACAACCTCCACTCCCCGTCGGACCTGTAGCCACGAGTGCAGCATGCTTGATTGCACCGAAGCGCCTCTCCACGCGCACCGTGACCTTACCGCACACTCGCGACTCGCATGCCATGACTTATTGCGCGTCGGGCAGCAAGCGTAGCAGCGTCCTGCTGCTGCTGCACAGCGCAGATCATCACATCACATCACGGACAAACATCATGCATGCATGCATGCTTGTGGCACAAATTTCTTTTTTTAGGGGCACGCGCGCGCGCGCCCACACACGCACTCTCTCTGCTGACAGCTGCTGCGTGCATGCAGAGGGGTCATCCGCACCGCACCTCACCGCACCTCACCGCACGGAGGAACCTGGTTGCCTCCCTCTCCTTCAATTGGCCTTCTGCTGCTGCTGCCTTTCGTGCTTGTGGGAGCGCGGCAGTCTGCGGTGGAGCTAGCGCTGACGCTACTGACTGATGGCAGGGCAACGTGCCTCTCGCTTCGCCAGCAGCAGCGTCCCAACACCTGTCCGCAACTCCACGTCTCTTCATCACTTTACCCCTCCACCACCACCACCACCACCACCTCACCCCTTACGCCCATTTCACGACCCCCTTTACGATCTAACGAGCGCACGACAAAGCACAACATTTCCCACTCCCCCACTCCCCCCCCCCCCCCCCC